CATAAAAACATATTGTTCCTAACTCCACGTCTATATAATTTATAATATCGACAAACACTATTCGTTTCATTTCGCCAATCCTACACGAATACATCCTTTCGGCTCCGTTGAGGTTTCGATCTTATCGATCCTAAAAACATTGGACAGTTTATCCAAAAAGCCCGGGAAAATTGTAGTGCGGAAACCTTAGCTCATATCTGACCACGCTTTTGTTTTCTAGATTTTTTTTATTTTTATTAGTTGCCCTTGGACCTCACTGACTGTTTAGTGCGGTGCCAATATATGGGCAATATTGAATTTTAACGTCTAATATTTTTAGAATACATTTCATATCCTAACGTCTAAATTTCAAATACTTCTCATAGCTTTGAACATAGCCTTAATATTATCAAAAATTTTATTTTTGCATTTTTTGCAACTAATGGTAGGGTTGTTTCCATAAAGGTTTTTCGGAATTCAGGATAAAGGAGTCAAGAAATCCGGTCAAAATCCGAAAAATAATTTAAATTTTTTATGAAGGATGAATTTTATTTATTTTCTGCAAGAATACATTTTTACAGAAAAAAAAAAAGATACATTATTAATTAATATTGTGATAACATATATCATGAAACAAATCTATAAAACTGTGATATTTTTGTGATTTCTGAACTTCGTTCAGGACACAAAATTTTTCTGTTGACATGATAAAATCATAGAACTCAGAACATGGTCAGGTCAAAATTAAATATGGTCATTATCTCATTAACAACCTTTTATAGACTCGAGAGTAGGCTTATTCCAATCTTTTGTCAATTGGGCCGCAATTAAAGAAAATATTCGCTCAACATTTGCGTTATGTGCAGTTATAGCAAAGAAGAATTCACATATTTTCGGCAGTTAAGAAAAATGTAAGTATTGGTAGAAATGTAGTACCGTAACGATTGAAATATTTAACAGAGTTAGGTCATTTTTACGATCTCCGAGTTTTCCGTACATTGTTCCGGAATTACCCGGACACCCTAAAAACCCAAACTCCGGGTAAATTCAGACGAATGCAATCCCTAACTAATGGTAAAATTTACTTTTCAGTTGCGAAAAATTTTACTTTTCGCAACTGGTGATGAAAAGTAAGATATTTAATACCTTCAACGGGTTTTGAGAAGTGTCACTTTAAATGTCAAAATCAGAAGGCTTTTTTTCTATCGACATCTTCGAGCGTATTCCCAAAAACCAGATAAATGATTTTTTTTTCTGCGATTGACAAGAAATGTCAGCATTTTTGACCGGTTGACAGGTCGCCAAACTCAATATTCTGGTATTTTAATTATGTTTCAATAGTTGCTAAGGGATCAATGAATAACAATACGAGAATCACTTTTTCGACCTAGGCCGGGAAAGTGATTCTCGTACTGCTGAATAATTGGAACAAAAAGACAAACGCTTAACAGATATTTAACCGATCGCAGAAAAAATAGTATGTGTATTTCGGTGGAAAATCACATTCTCGGCCTTCGGTGTTTGCCGGCCTCAGCTACGCCTCGCCCGTCAACTTACCCCGTCGGCCGAGAATGTGTCACTTTTCCACCTAAATACACAATATACTATAAGTGAACTTCACACATTACTTTAGTTATTTATTTATAGGATCACCACATTACAACACTTAACGCTACAAATGATACAATAAACTGCTCAATTAAAATCCTTGTTAAAATGTTAATCAACCCATTGTGGATGCCAGACATTCAAAATTGTTTCACATTTAAATTTCACAGAGCAAGCATTAAATTCAAACTTACACCTGAATGCGTCACTGAATGTTGTTTTGAATTGCCACATGTATTAACTTCAGCGTTGCATGTTGCTTTTAATTTTATTTTTTTATCCGAATGCCCTAATATGTGTTTCTTCATATTGCTTTTTTTGTCTAAATTTTGCTTCACAAGTGGCACATTTAAAAGAATAAAATATTCGAATGTGTTACTTTGTGTTTTTTCAATTCTCCTTTTCGCTTGAACTTTGCTTTGCAAGTGTCACATTCAAAAGGAAAAATATCCAAGTGTATCAGTTGGTGACTCTTCAATTCACCTTTTTGTTTAAATTTTGCTTAACAAGTGTTACATTCGAAAGGATAAATGTCCGAATGTGTTAGTTCGTGATTATTCAAATAGCGTTTCCGTTTAAATTTTACTTTGCAAGTGTCACACTCAAAAGGATAAATATCCGAATGTGTAGGTTTGTGATTTTTCATAGCGTCTTTTCGTTTAAATTTTGCTTTGCAAGTTTCACATTCAAAAGTATAGATATCCGATTATGTTATTTTATGATTTTTCAAATCGCCTTTTTGTTTAAATTTTGCTTTGCAAGTGTCACATTCAAAAGGATTAACATCCGAATGTGTTAGTTTGTCATTTTTCAAAACGCCTTCTTGTTTAAATTTTGCTTTGCAAGTATCACATTCAAAAGGATAAATATCCGAATGCATTAATTGGTGATTCTTGAAAAAGTATTTTTGTTGAAATTTTGCGTTGCAAGTTTCACATTCGAAAGGATAAACACCGAATGTGTTAGTTAGTCATTCTTCAAAATGCCTTTTTGTTTAAATTTTGCTTTGCAAGTATCACATTCAAAAGGATAAATATCCGAATGCATTAATTGGTGATTCTTGAAAAAGTATTTTTGTTCAAATTTTGCGTTGCAAGTTTCACATTCAAAATGATAATTTTCCGAATGTGTCAGTTTGTGATTTTTTAGATGGTCTTTCCGTTTGAATTTTGCATTGCAAGTGTCACATCCAAAAGGAAAAATATCGAAGTGTGTCACTGAATGAGTTTTTAAATTTGATTTAGTTTTAAATAGACATTGCAAATGTAAAATTGAAGTTTTCTGAAAACATCTGGTCCTGATGAATTGGCATCATTCGAATATTTCTCTTCTTTCATATCCCTTTATTTGGATCTATCAGTTGAATATCTGATTCTTCTATTTCATTTTAAACGTCATCCTCTAGATATTCATTAATCATAAACCTAAAAAAATAAACATAGGTCGAGTTTGGAGTCGATGTTTATTTTTAAATTAAATGTCTACCTAGCGCTTTCGGTAAGATGGTTGGTCCTGAAAAAATTTATCTTAAAATTGATACTGTTAAATTGAATAGGCTCAAAATGAGAGCTTATAAAAAAATAAGATAGGCAATAGAAACATGCAAACGTTTTGCTGTATGTTGCATTGTTCTCCTAAACTGGAGAATTGTCATTTTTCAAATATCAATGACCTATCTTCCATTTGAGACATCCTATAGAGAAATTTTTCATTGAAAAAAATGCGTGACAAAACAAAGCATCGACTTCGAGCGTTTTTTCAAAAAGCAGATACAATAATTTCAAGTGAACTTTATACATTACTGTAATTATTTATTTATATAATCATTAGACAGAACTTAACGCTAAAAATGGTACAATAAACTGCTTAATCTAAAACAATTAGAAGAAAAAAAAAACAGCAATATTCTCTACACGCAAAATGTAAAACGCATTTAAATCCTTGTTAAACTGTTAATCAACTAGTGGTAATATCAAAATTTTTTTTTTCATTTTTTTGATGAGAAATGCACCTTTTTTGGGAATTCAATATGTTATATTATTCATGTTGGAGATTCTAATATAAATTATTATAATGAAGATTTTCATGTGACTATTTCACTAGAGTGTTTTACACTGGCAAAATGTCATAGGAACGGCCGGTTTCCTACTGACAAAACTCCTACCTGTTCCTACCTGGACAAAACCAACATGATCATAGAAATAGTTATTTATGATATAAGTGTTAAAAGTACATTTTTAAGGCACGCATGTGAAAGTTTGCAGAATGAGCGAAGCGAATTCTGCAATTCACATAAGTGCCTTAAAAATACTTTTAACACAAATATCATACAATATTTTTTCTACAAACGGCAATAAAAAGCAATAACCACTAACAAATTGGATTTTTAAATGAATAATAAATTGGAAGCATCTTTCTTACATAAAATTCTTGAATTTGACACTTGTCAAAAAATCCATACAACTAGCACCTTGTTTTACAGGTAACGAAATGTCTTGTCAGTTTCTTGAAAGTCTGTCGTGGTCAGATACAGAAGAAACAGAGGGTTGCATCGATCCTTCGAAAAATATAGATGAGGCGGCCAATCGGGCTACCTCAGTTGTTCAAATTTCACCATTAATATCAATGTAAATAACTGAAAATACAAACTTTTTTTGACGTCCGCTCTCAAAATTTGATGTTTCACTTTTAACACTAGTGCTATAAAGACTTTATGGCACTAGTGCGATAAAGTAACATTTTTAATGCTTCGGGGCCGTGTTAAAAATTGCATTTTTAACACGTTTGTAGAAAAAGTGATTTATATTCTTAAATAGAACATCCACTGGATTCATCCCCTCCACTTTTTGTTTTAGTTCGTGACTACACCGCTGTGCGCCCATATCGCCGTTTTTCAACGTCCCCCTCGTAATTATTCTAACCTGTGACTTCACCGATGAGTTTGTAACGTTTTCAATTTCTTGGCTAATAAGCTACCTTGTTTTGCTTTAGTAGATATGATTCCATACCCAAACAACACAGTACGTTTTCAAAACGTCCATTTTAGGTCATATTTACGTACGTACGTCTTAGGACCAAAAGAACATGTATGTATTTAATCATCAGTCATTCTCAGTACGTACATAGTATGTACACAAAAGAGGAATGAAAAAAACAAATTATCACAAAAACTCGTGATGATGATCACCCATAAAATAATTTGAAACTTATTTTTCATTTGCCCATACCCTCAAATGATAATTATTCTGATTAGCTTTGTTTGATTATTTGCACCTAAGTTACACAAAAGCTGCACCAGGTGCAGCAAAAGGACAGACTGACAGAGATAGGTTAATAAAAATCTTAGATAAAAATGATATAAAAATAAAGGGATAAACAAACACGCTCGATGTAGAAAGTGTCGGTTGGTGCAAATAAAAATAAACAAGAAGCTAGCAGCTTTGTTTGTTTATTTGCATCAAAGTTACACCAATCTGCACCAGGTTCAGCAAAATGTTAGGCTGTCTCTGTCAGACTAACAAAAATATAGGGATAAAGAAACACGTTTGGTGTAGAAAGTGGGTGCCATGTTGTGAAAATAAAAAACAAAACAGCATTTTCGAATTCCCGCCACCAAACTGAAATGAATGATAGTTGTGCAGCATTGCCAAATTTAATATGATTGTCGAAGAATTTAATTTAAACGTGCACACATCTAAAAAAATATTGCGATAAAAAGGGGTTTTCAATCGTAGACTTATCAGATCTATGAACCAAGATACATCTTAAATTGTCCAAATGCTCTACTTTTTAATTTTCCTTGAACACAACAGTGTCACAAAACAAGGAAATTAGGGAATAAATCAAGGCGTTGGCAACGTACCCATTTCAAATGTCCAATCCAGTCCAATCAACTTCATCCTCCCTGCGCCTGCGCCTTGCGCTCCCGGCTCCTTTCTGTACCCACTGTACACTGTACCCGCCGGCCGCCATTACTCAAAAACTAACAAAACAACGAAGCGCACCAAGCCACCGCGTCATTGCTAATTTTTAATTTTTTGATATTTTTTGATTTCAAATAGCATACAAATAGTGAGTGATTCGTGAAATTTGATTTTTATGTGTGTTTATCTGTGTAATAAGAATAATAACGACTTGGGTAAGACCACTGAGACTAATATTGAATCCCTAACCTAAAATTTTTGATTTTCTGGTAGATTTTGTGCAAATTTTAGGCCCTTCTGTTTGGAGAAGTAATTAAAGTGTGTGTTAAATAAGAAATTAAGGTGAAGTGAATGTAGGTAGTTTTAAGCAGGGTTTTTCTGTAATTATTATAATTTAAAGTGATAGGTATTTTATAATTCGACTTCGCTATGTTAAGTAAAAGCTCAAGTAAAAGTAAAGTTAGTAAGCATTACAAAAAAACGAAAAAAAAAATTGAAGCTTTTGAGGCTTCAATAAGCAACAGCTTCCTTCCAGAAAACTTTCCAGGTACCCTCCCGTCTGTATCATCTAGTAGTACAGTTGAGGGTTTCATTGTGTATGATGATGATATTGCCACAAATTCTAACTCGAATTCAGCAACCTCTGATTTTGATCACCAAGTTTCTTCAGAATCTGACAGCAATTTTGGTGATGATATTGATCAAGATATTAATATAAATGATAATATTGAATTAGTTTCTGATACTACATTAAACGTTCAGCATAAACCTTCAAATGAATCAATCTCATTACCTGTACAAATTTCAAACTGGGCTGTCAATCATAATATTACACAGGTAGCTTTAACAGCTTTGTTAAAAATTCTTAAACCTGCACATCCGGAGCTCCCTGTTGATGCAAGGTCTCTTTTAAATACTGGTAGGGGCAGTAACACTACGGTGATAGAACCAGGAGAATATTTTCATTTTGGATTGGAGAAATGTGTTCAATCCCTTTCAGAAATTTGTTTACAAGACCAACAATTAGATACCATTGAAATTCTTGTGAATATTGATGGGTTACCCCTATTTAAAAGCTCTGGTGGAACATTTTATCCTATTCTTGTTAGTATTTATGGTTATAAAAATGTTAATTTAGCTGGGTTATATTATGGTAACTATAAACCACATAATGCTAATTCATTCCTGAAAGAATTTGTGGCAGAAGCCAAGGATTTGATCAAAAATGGAATTGTATTTCAAGGAAGGAAGTTGAAGTTTAAAATTAAAGGATTTATTTGTGATGCTCCGGCAAAGTCCTTTATTTCATTTACAACTGGGCACTCGGGTTACAACTCTTGTACTAAATGTCATATAGAAGGACAATATATTGACTCTGTTTGTTTTCCAGAAACTGTAAATTTAAAGATACGCTCAGATTTTGAATTTCGTCATAAAATTCAGCCAGAGCATCATACAGGAACATCAATTCTAGAAGAAATTCCAAATTTGGACATGATCAAGTGCTTTCCATTAGACTACATGCACTTAATTTGTTTGGGAGTTGTGAAAAAATTGATTTCTTTCTGGTGTGTGGGAAAACCTGAAAATAAGTTATCGCATCCTCAAATTTCAGAAATTTCTAATTTATTGAACATACAAGTGAAAAACATTCCAGCTGAGTTTAATCGAAAGCCGCGTCCACTTGCAGAATTTAAAAGGTGGAAAGCAACAGAGTTCAGGCAGTTTTTACTGTATACAGGACCTGTTGTGTTGAGAAATATATTGTCCTTTGATAAATACATTAACTTCTTGTGTTTACATGTTGGTGTGACAATTTTGTGCAGCAATAACAATATGGCGTCAATAGGTACTGAATATACCCAGCACTTGTTGAAATATTTTGTTGACACATTTATTACTTTATATGGGAAAAAATATGTGTCTCACAATATCCACAATTTATTACATATCACCGCAGATGCAATTAATTTTGGAACATTGGATACATTCAGCGCGTTTCCTTTTGAAAACTTTATGCAAAATATTAAAAAAATGGTCAGAAAAAAAGAAAAGCCTTTGTTGCAAGTGATTAACAGAAAATCAGAGATAGACTTATTCAAAAACATACATAAAATTGCTAGTAGCTTTCCAAACTTAAAACGAGAACATTTTTATGAGGGCCCACTATTAGAATTTCAAAATCGAGCTATTTCTCTCACTCATTTTAAAGAAATAGAGCTAGAAAATTGCGTTTTAAAAATTTCTGAACCTGATAATTACTGCTGTTTGAAAAACAAAACAATTGTATGTATTAAAAATTTTACTAAAACAGAAAATGAAATTTTTTTCTTTGGAGAAGAAGTCTTAAAAATAGGCAGTTTTTTTGAGAAGCCTTTAAATTCTGAGGGAGTTGGTATATATTTGGCTGAAAAAGATAATAATGCATCACTCAAGAGCTGGAGGCTAAGCTGTTTTGCATATAAAGTTGTCAAACTTGACTATCAAGGAAAGTTTGTATTTTTTCCTCTTCTACACATGATGTAAAAAATGTCATAAGTATGTGAGTTGGGGGCCGATGTTCTATTTAAGCTATTTTTTATAATTATTTAAGTATCTATAATATTTTATTTGATTGTATTTCGTTCATTTTGTTGTTTATTTTTCTTGTTAATTATAATAAGTAAGTACCTGCTAGTAAATAAGGATGTATATTTTAAGTGATACCACTATTGCTATATCCAAAACGGCAAGAGCTACAAGGTCAGTTAACTTAGAAAAAAAAATGCCTTTTTTCATGCTCATTTAAGTCTTGGTTACAGTGCTACCAAATTCCTTTTAGTTCATGAAATACAGGGTGATTTCCAAGATACACCTAAAAATATTTCATCCATTATTTCAAAAACTATTGATCTTCAAATTTTAAATTCGATGTTATGTGATCAAGCTACCATCATCAACTTTACAAAATGATAAAACTTTCAAATTTAAATTGTGTCTCGAAAAATCAATAGTTTTTGAAATAATTGATGAAATATTTTTAGACGTTTCTTAGTAATCGCCCTGTATTTCATGAACTAGAAGGAAATTGGCAACAATGTAAACAAGTCTCTAATGGGCATCGAAAAAAGGAACTTTTCTAATTTAACCGACCTTGTAGCTCTTACCGTTTTGGATATAGCAATGGTGGTATCATTTCAAATATACACCCTGTATAATATTATAATATTATTATTACTTATATAATACCATCTGATGATACTTATCTATAACAAGTGATATTTGGTGGTGACACTATAGTGACAAGTTGAAATGGCAGAAGAATCTGGAACTGTCCAAAAAACTTGGACAATCGTTAAGTTTATAGACGAAGATACTGTTGCTATGGTTCCCACAATCTGGTTAACTAACTCTGAAAATGGCTGGAATTGTTTATGGCCTCCACTGCCGGCAAACAGGATATCAGTGGCTGTTAGGACCCACGAAATGAATACTTGTTGGCCATCTTTTAAAGTTACCATGTTTAGAAATACGACTTATGGTATGTATGTTTTCCTCTATATCGACAAACATAGCTACTGACAAAACAAGTGCTCACACAACTATATGTTAACTTATTATTATTAAATTGATTTTGAAAAATTTACCTACAAAACCTAAGCTAAGCGTGATTTTGTTTTACTTGCTTTAAATTATTTTTCCTAGTTTTTTTCATTACTCTTTTTCCACATATACTTAGAATATTTCATCAAAACAATTATTAAGGTGATACATCAATAATATATTTTTCAATGTGTGTACCTTGTATATTCAGTTTGATAATTAAATTTATATAATATATCTATCTAACGAGTTATAAAAATTATGATTTGGTTCATTTTGTAGATGACTATCAAAAAGCCAGAAAGGCAGTTTTAAAAGCCGAAGATACCAGTGATCTGAACACTGATGTCGAGATGACTGTGAGAAGAAAAAAAATTAACAGGATTTCAAGTGACTCCTCAGAAGAAAATGATGTTCTAGTGAAAATCAGGACTCCCCCAAAATTTACTGGGAAATCATTCAAAGCAAATGATAAAAATGGTATGTATTAATTTGTGTTGATGATAATAAACTCCAATACATATAGTAATCTTATTAAATGCTTCAAGGCATTGACCAGGTTTAGGTATCAGAATCCTTTTTTTTTTTTTTTTTTTTTTTTTTTTTTTGGCTTTGAGCATAGCTCACTTAGCCACGAAAACATAATTCAAAAGTTCAAACTTTAGCTAACCATTCACCCAACGATATACAGATAAAAAAAAAAAGGAAGGAATCTAGCAAAAAGGATAAACACATGGACACACGCTTCTCGTCCTGGGGTCTATGCAGGACATTTTTAAACTTTAACAAAACACAGGTGGACCCGGTTAGGAAGGATGTAACATATAAGGAAAAAAAAACATAGGAATCGAAACAATCTCTATCCTTTAATACATAGTTTTATACTTACCCTAGCCTCTTATTAACAAAAAAATTTCCATAATTGTGAATTTTTCTCGATCCTTTTTCTACAACTTTCTCTTTGATAAATCAAACCTGTGTGTTCATATACAGTGTGTCCACTTAAGTTCGCAGCATATGGGAAACTTTTCTATTATCAATTTTACAAAAAAAGTTATTTTTTATAAAAGTTTCTGCTTCTTGTAAAAATAACATTAAACTATTGTAACTTGAAATAGCATGTACAGGGTGGTCAGAAAATAAAAAAATATATACAGGGTAAAAGTAGAAAAAAAATGGCACGTCACTATTTTTTTAAACTTTCGATATTTTTTTTCAGATTAACTAAGTCATATTATAGTCAAAAGATACCTTTCGTTTTCACGAATAAACCTGCCAAATTCGAAAGAAAAATTGGAGAAGGAGTTTTTGAGTTGGAAAAACGATTTTTTCTAAAAATTTGACACCCTGTATCTCAGAAACTACGCATTTTCGGACACATTTCTGTGGGAACTTCTTTTCTTAAAATATTGTAAGGAATCAAATCCTGAAGTTACGAACCGTACTTAGGAAATACACTGTATATTTTTCTATTTTTTGACTACCCTGTACATGCTATTTCAAGTTTTAATAGTTCAATATTATTTTTTCAAGAAACAGAAACTTTTATAAATAACTTTTATCGCACAGTTTATCAATCAACAAAATGATCACAGCTCAGCTATCACAAATTTCAATAATAAACTGTGCGATTGTTTTAAACCGTTCTAGAACCGTCCTTTTTTCCAACCCGAAAATAGCTACTGTATAATAAATTTCGTGTTTTTTACATTCTAACTTTTTTTTCTGATTTATTTGTAGTTAAGATGGTAAAACAAAAATTGGTACTAAGTTCACAATTATCATGTCACAAACAGAATGCAAAGTTGTTGGAGCCAGGAACCTCATCAGAAGGTATGCTCTTAATTTATTGAAGAACTTTCAGGTATTTATATTTTCGTAAAATAAATTTCATGTTTAAATTATTTTTAGGCAACAACCAAAATCTTAGTAAGAATGTTGATCTCACTAATTCTAATCTAAATGATTCATTGGGATTCGAGAGACACGATAACGGACAAGCAAATGAATCAGTTAACGCTTCTGCTCCTAAACATGTGCAACCAAGTGTGCGACCTAGGACAATTGCAAGTAATAATTCAAATGATCCAAAATGTACATGTTGTCCTGTCCATGGTAAGAAAAATATTTGAGGTACCGAAATCATGAATAATGAAATTCAGAACTTACTGCAGAAAGTTTTTTCTCAATACCAGAAATATTTTAATACTCACTTATAGTTTAGGAATAACAATTATAATGTTGATATTTTTTTAGTTCACTATATAAAAGAAATATTGAGACAACTTACATTTATCAAGAGCCGCGTTGATGATATTCCCATTGAGCCAATTTTGAAGAACCCTGTGTCTCTGCACGAGAAATCACTCTTTGAAAACCCAGCAGTGAATGATGAAGCCCTCTCTGAATTGAATAATGCGTTAAAGGATACAAATTTTTTTGAGAAAGCGGTAAGAAATATTATTTTTACCATATTTTTTGTTCTGTTATTAATGGTGAGTTTATAAAAACATTTAACATTTAATAAATTTCGCCTTACACAAAGTACCTATATAATGTAACGGTTCATGAAAATTTTATAAACCACTATATTACTTTGCATAAGTCGAACTTTTTTGAATGTTAAATGCTAGATGTTATGTTAAATGTTTTTATAAAGTGGCCATGAATGAACTAAAACAAGTTTCTAGTGAAATAATCCTTAACGTCTTGGTTTGATATCATCAGCTTAATCAGACACATTTTTCAATTTTAATTTAAAAGCTTCAAGTTACCTACTCAGATAACATTAGAACATTGATGCATCTAATATGTTTTATCATTATTTCAGGTTAATGAGCTATCTAGATTAGGGGGGAGAAACATCTATGACTTCTGTGTTAGATGTTTGAAGTAAGTCATGACAGATGAGCTAGCTAACCAATATAGTTGGTTAGGCAGAAGAAATAAAAAGAACTTCAGTGTAATGGAAGTCTCAAAGCTAATAATTGGTGAGGATAATTTTGAAAATGTAGCCATAAATTTGTATCAAAAGAAATTAGTATAGAAACAAATTTTGGTTTGCATTTTAATGAAAGGCATTTAGATTTTCGGCTTAGATAATCAAAAATTTAATTTTCAGCTGCTGCTGAGGCTGGGGGCAAGGCAAAAAACAAGAAGGAGGTGGAAGATGCGGTTTCTGGCTGGCTACGAAGGGCTAACGATAGAATAAAATCGAAACGATAAATTTTAGGTTTTTTATGTCTAATAATGTTTTGTTTAGAATATTAAGAGTTTATGTTTTGTTTAATTCCTGCAATAAGGATGGCATCTCAAGTTCTGTTTAGAGTTCGAATTGTGATATAATAAGAATAATTGTTGATTTTTTATTTAGGTACCTACCTACCTACTTGTTCAATTATCTATTTTCCTGGAATAAAAGTATGTAATCTACTAATGTACCATTAATTCATTATTTCAATCATCCAAGCTTGAAGCAAAATTTGAAATTTCAATTTTTAGAGCCTGTAAAATGGGATTTAAAAAGTACGTCTTGTGTATGTCCATATGACGTTCTAAATACTTCAATAATGTACGTACATAAAACGTATTATCTGGTGGAATTTGGAGGTACTATGTACGTATATAGAATGTACAATGGATATCAGAGTACGTACATAAGATGTAAGTTACGTCGAAGGTTGATGTATTATGTACGTACTTAAAACGTAAACTGGTTGTTTGGGTATAAAACTACAATGAAATAAATGAATAAACAACTATCTTTTCTGTGCCCAGATTTTGTTACCTTGAGTACTGCCTTCTATTAGAAGTTTTTTTTGGTTCAGGTTTGCAATTTTGGTTAATTGATCTAGGAAGGTTTGATTCAGTACGGCAGGGCCCGCTGTTATTGATTAGAATCTTAGGAAAAGGAGGTAGTACCATCATCATCTCTGTTTGCAAATCCAATCAGTAATCTGAGGTTATAATAATAATTGTTGTTTAATCTTTAACTTTTCATTTCCATCATGTCATTGAACAGCTGTTTTGTCTAGGCGTTTTCTTTAGACCTGTTCTACCTTTTGATATATGTTCTATAGGCACTTTTCAACATTCACCAGTCATTTTTTACACAACTGATTCTCAGTTCGTACTTTTGGGGTGAAACTGAACACGTCCTTTTCTATAATTTTCTTCAATGTCAAAATTAGAAGTTTGACAGATGAAAGTCTTCTTCCGAAATCTAAATTCTAAATGAAGAATCTGCCCTTTTGATCTGCGACCTCACGCTGAGTACAGTAATTATTTTTGGGGCGAGACTTTTTGGAATTTTGTGCCAGGGAGCTCAAGTTTTAGACTAATTTCTTGCTGATAATTGTCTAGAGTCGTCCCTTGGTCATTTTTGGATTCTGTTTCGGTAAGTTTGAGATTTTCTTCAGGAAATATTAACCTACAACACGTGTTCCATTTCTTCAATAGGACTGTTCCGAGCAGCTTTTGGAAGTTTAAGACTTCACCTTTGGTCTAGAGGATCCCTCAATTTGAGGTAAGATTATTTCTAATTTTTGGGGCTCGATTTGTTTTTTTATACGAACATCGTTATAGGGTCCTAGTCTCAGACTATAGTTGGACAGTTGCTAAGCTGTATTTAGAGAGATTCTAGACTGGATCTGGATTGCTCTCAGTTGGGGTTTTGGTAGCCATTATTCAGCAACTCTCTTGGTGCCACTCTGGTAGAACCACGTCGAGTTCTACGTTGAACGGATACAACGTGGATAGGACTCATGACTCACTTACCATACCTTAGCCTATCTAGAGTGAGACCAAACCTGTAGATAATCTCACTTTGGAAACTTCTGGATTTTCACATACATTTCACTTGTATACATGTAAGTTGCACCTTTACTATTTAGGCAAATCTTATATAAATCATCTGACACCGAATTACGTCGGTAAGTGCCCCTCAAATAAAATTCTAGAATTTTACCCTGAGGTTGCCCTAACAATAACTTTCATCTTTCTGTGTTTAATTTGCCTGTTGGTAAAGTGTAACCCATACTGTAGTTTTCTTATCACTCACAAGTGTAAATACCAAAAGGTTTTTAGTCATGTTTACTTAAAATTCATATTTATATATGTTATTTACATTAATTTTTTTATAATCAAATATTTATAAATTGGTACAAGCCATAATGATGTCCTGGCCATCCCTATTCATTATTGTTATTATTTTTTAATAAAGAAGCCAGATACATTATTGTACCTAATTAGTTGTTTTATTAATAAGCTCTCCAATTGCACAGGTTTTGTTTAAACATCATTAGGTTATCTTCCTAGTTAAGTCACAATTAACTTGGTGGCGCCCAAAGGTAAGATGTATACAAGGAACCCATAGACCCATGGCCTCCGAACTGATGCTGACTAGCCGTATGCAGTATAATTAGGCAATTGCCAAAATAAGTAAGCTATCTTTGTTTAGTGAATAGAAATTGACAATGACCGACATAGAATGGTGGATATAAAAACCAGTCATAAAAACGCAGAGGTCCATTTAACATCATAATGCATATGTCATCTTGTCATCTGATTTATTTTGTTGAGTGCATCGTCGTTGAGTGTTGAGTTTGTACTTTGTTGGTTTTGAATTATAAATTTGTGAAAGAAGTGATAAGTGCATCACAACCAGCCGGTTTAAGCAGTTATTGCCACAATATGTGACCAGGCGCAAAAAATTATTCGACCATAAGCGAATTGCAGCGACAGACCATAGAAATCTACATCAAAAACAACACAGAAACAGAAATGTTGGTTTTTTTGGAGATATACAACCTAGAAATCGTAATCGTGCCACTGTATGATACTCCACACGTGCTCAAGGAAATTAGAAATAACTTGATCAAATATGACAGCCATTCAAATGGGAAAATGGACATTTCCAAAAAGCAGATTGGAAATAGTGTTTCAGTCAGCTCCATGAGTCAGATACCCCAGATCATCTAGATTGTAGACTATTTTATTCAGTAAGTGATTCTCACATAAATATATGAAGATAAAATTAATAAAATTTTAATTTGAAGTTTCAGAGCACTGCTTTATTTTGAAAAAATTGAAATGTCAAACCAGTCATTTGAAACTTGAGATTCAAACAGCCCGCCAAATATTAGTTCAATGACTACACCGCTATGGCAGGACCGTCGGAAATGTCACTTGGCGACTACAACAGAAGTGAGCGTTCTATATCAACAATATAAATCACTTTTCTATGAACATGATGGTTTTTCAGCGACAAAATGTTGTGTGACTAATGTTAAAAACTATTGAGTTTGACAAGTGTCATCTAAAGAAAATAAATTTTCCAAGTGAAAATTTGGCTTGTTTTTCTCGTGAAATAGTCCAGCCGAATACCACTCAAGAAAAAATTATGTAGGCAAAATTATTCTCTTGGTTTTATTCAAGTTTGTTGCTTTTTGGTAATTTCGCGAATGAAATTTTTGACAAAACCACTCGCCTGACGGCTCGTGGTTTTGTCAAAAATGTCATTCGCGAAATTGCCAAGCAACAAACTTTCATACCAGTCGAAAATTTTGCCAACAAAATTTTTTCTCTTGTGGTATTATACAGGGTGTTCCTAAATATCATGTACAAACGAAAGGGGATGATTCTTTGGCTTATTTCATGACTCAAATTTCTAATGAACATAGGTCCGCAAACGCTTCGTTACCGATCTACAAGGTGTTGAAATTTTAATATTTTTTCAGTTTTTTCTTTATAGCTCCTTCAATTTTGGAGAGATTTAGCTCAAATTTGGAATATAGGTTACGCAATAGGAGCTGAATGATTGCACATGTCAAACGTTTGCCAGAATCTACAGGGTGATGTTTTTTCAGGGGTCATGCCCCCTTTTCTGCCACTGAACTTTTTTGAAGTGCGCTGCTGGTCGGTTCTAAGACGCAAAATAATTTTTCTACCTTATTTAGAAACTTTTTGTTTTCTTGTAATTTTTTCGTATCAACGACCCTAATCGGGAAAAAAATTAAAAAACAAATCTCTGTAATTAGCTAGATGAAACTAAAATTCTTGGTCATTTTCAATAGGAATCTCGAAGTAAGACACCCCTCGCCGCCATATTCTTGCTCATTTTCAACGTAAATACACTAAAATTTCAACACCCTGTATATCCGTAACAAAGCGTTTGCGGACCTAGGTTTATTAGAAATTTTAGTCATTAAATAAACCAAAGAATCACAACTTTCCGTTTGTACATGATATTTAGGAACACCCTGTATATGATGAAATTTAAAAGAATAATAAATGTTAATAGATTGAAGCAGCTGATATCTGAAATGACGCGTACGGTATTACAGAAAATTCAAGTGCCTACGTTAATAGATTTGGTAATATCTAATGATCATTAAATAATCTTTATCCCATTTTGACGTTTGAAAATGTCATTATTGAACGCATAACAATGAAGGTAAGTAGACGTTTATCACCTCAGTGATTTAAAAAGATTTGAACTCACTCTCGGCATTTTAAGTCACTCTGCCTAACTAAACATCTGATACTTCAGTGATTTAAAATATTTTTATCCAACACATGACAGTTATGACTATTATTATTGATGTCATTTTAGTAGGGATGGCAGTTTTTGGAAAAGCATCGATGTATCGACATCGATACACATCGGAAAGCAATGCATCGATTTATAAGATACATCGAGTTGAAAATATCGATGTGTTCGATGTTTTTAAAAATGCGATATTTTATTTATAATTTCTTTTGTTATTGAAAATAAAATTATAATTGAGTCAATTAAATAAGTTGAATTAAAAAATAAGACAGGCATATCAGCAGAATATAAACAAAAGCCCGCGGAATCATAACCTGTGGTGCAAACCTTATGAGGATAGGCTATCCTGTAGTAGTAGTGTGTATTATCCTTGGATCGGATCAGCGTTTCCGTTACGGCATTCTGTCAACAGCGTTAACTCAACTGTCATTTTTTCATCAAAACTGTCAAGAATAGCGATTTCTATTTTATAGAACCTAGTGCCGACTGCCGAGTAACAAAAAATGTATTTAAAAAAAAATCATACAAACATCGATAGTATCGATGTCGATGTATCGATATATCGACTTATGTTGTATCGATGTAAAAATATCGATGTTTATTGTTCGATATATCGATGTCTTGAAAAAATCGATGTATCGTTGCCATCCCTACATTTTAGACAAGTAAACTATCAAATAACACACTAGTGTGTTATAATCCATAACTCACTAGTGAGTTATGGATTATAACTCACGTTCATATTTAAAGTAGTATTCTATTTATTTATCACTATTACAAGCAGAATTCACATTGATATTGAAATTAAAGGCAAACGCTAACGGTTTATTCGAATTTGAATTCATTGTAAAATTCGTTGGTTCATTGGAACCAGACGCTCCCATATCGGTACAGCTGCTGATAGTGCTGGAAGACGCCGACGCATTAGAACCTTGTATCTTTTT